CGAGCTCCGGGAGCGCTCCCGCCGGGTGCTCTGGTACTGCCAGCGCCTGGTCGAGCTGATACAGGGCAGCGATCTGCTCCCGGCTTCGCTAACCGCTGCGGTCCTTAGGTCGGTGGGTTACAAAGCTCCTCCAGCTTTGCCGTCAGAGAGTTTGGTGCTTTAGTGCAAACCATCCGGCTGTGCTGGCTGTAGGTAGTGTGCCCGGTTCCGTGGGGGTACTGAGGGAAACATCCTCCCCTAAAATTCTGTGTCTGCTGCCGCTTGCAGTGGCCCTAAATTGTGGCATGGCAAATTCAGTGTTGGCAGCAACGGGCTGCTTCTACTTGTGACGGACGTGTAGTACTCTCTGTGCAATTATTCACTGTTTGGTAGATCGCTTTTATTGTGGGGGTTTTTTGCAAGGTGTGGTTTGATAGACTTTGGCTGTGACTTGGGGAAGTTGTGCTGGTCATGATGAATTATCCTGTTGTATGGTCGCGTGTTTAAATTACAACATGGTGAAGATCAGGCCGAGTACTACCAAACTTGAGTGGAGTAGAGGTCCCGTTCAACTGATTAATGAAGTTCCTGGGAACCTGAAGGAGAAGGCTAAAAAGTTTCATGCGTGTGTGTCTTTTGACATAAATGAAGACTATAGCGAGGCCTTGGTTTATGTGTTATGAAACTTGAGTCATGTTATGCTATAACCTACACTTTCTCACTTTTGATGTTGTCGCTGCTGTTTCTTTTGCTTAGCAATTTGATCAGCGGCTTCAGAGCTTTACTGAAGTTTCTGCATGGCGCTTTTCACAGTTTTCATATAAGCATTTATGATTGCCCTTAATTTTTCTTAGAAAAAACCCGATATAACTTACATTCTTTTGGTCCTTTTCATTTGTAGGGATTAGCAGATACAGCTAAAAAGAACTTTGGTGGTGGAAACACTGCTTGGGAAGAGAAGACGCTGTCAAAGTACGAGTCCAGGTAAGCTCTCTCAGTACTTCTCATTTGGCTACATTTCGTGTCCACTGTGCATCACTTCACTGTATCAGTGTTTGTCTGGAACTTAAATATTGAATGTTGCACCTATAGTTTCACATGCCCACATCTTAAATCCTTATTGATTAAAATATAACATTACATTGTAGAGTAGAGATTACAGTAAAGACTGGAACCCCTTATTAATGCCTTTATTTGTCTTGTTTCTGAAAACAACAAAAGTTAATACTGTCATTGGTCATAGTATTTTTTTTTTCTGTTTGCCTTTTAATGTCCTAAAATAATGATCTTAACTAATGGTCAATACTTAATTAATAGTCATAAAGGGTGTGGAGTACTGCAATTAAACTTTTAGAGTTAGAGCAGTATTTCCTCCCTGGAGTCGTCGCTATTTCAGTGTCAAACAGAAAACTAGAAGAGGTGGTGATTACTGTACTGTTTTATATATATGTTTGACTGCTGAGCAAAGTGATCTGGTATCTTTCTTCCAAATTCACTTTTTAATCTTAGTTGGAGCATTGAGATGTAAGGGTGGGATTTCTGAACCTCAGTCACTGTGAGCTTTGTGGGCTTGTTATCAAATACTTACAATATGTGGAATTTATTTTTGAACTTAGGAGAAAATTACTGCACTCAAAATTTACTGGGAAGCTAGAAATCTTTCAGACCTGCAATCTGACATAATAAATGCAAGCAAGCCAAAGTGGTTCTTATAGTCATCCTTTTAATTTTTTTTTTTTTTTGGATGAAGTAATGTTCATTAGTTCTTTATTCTGATATTTGCTTTGTTTTGTAACTAACTCAGAACACACAGTACACTGATAAGCTAGACTTCAGCCTAGAGTATCTTATCTTTCATGTCTTGATTGGTGTCAAATGTTTAAATTAAACTTAAGATTTTCCTTCTGTGCCTGTAGCGAAATTCGTCTTGTGGAGATCATAGAGAATCTGTGCGACAGTAGTAACTTTGAATGTAACAACATGGTGGAAGAGCACGAAGAACATATAGAGAAATGGTGGTTCAAACTGTAAGTATCAAGTTTTTTGGTGGAGATCTTTGTGTGAATAAGTTATCTAAGAGCATGAACCACTAATATTAAATCTTGTGCCTGAACAATAGCAGTGTGGGTAATTCTTCATTATCCTTCAAGAGAATACACTGATAGGAACATCAACCACCTCTCTAGCAATCCTGTTCCAGTGTTTGGCCACCCTCTCAGTAAACAAATACTTCCTAATGTCCAGTCTAAACCTCGCCTGGCGCGGCTTTGAACCATTCCTGTGCATCCTATCACTGGATACCAGGGAGAGGAGATCAGCACCTCCCTCTCCACTTCCCTTCTTCAGGAAGCTGTAGAGAACAGTGAGGTTGCCCCTCACGCTCCTTTTCTGCAAACTAGACAAGCCCAAAGTCCTTAGCAACTCCTCATAGGACATTCCTCACCTTCCAGAAAGGTGAGCTATGCAACTCAGTCTTAAATGTCTTAATTTTGCAAAACTGAATGAAACAAGTCTTAAACTAGAGAATTTGACAAAGCAGATTTCCTAAAATAAAGAAAACCATTTATAAAGTACATTGCTTTTTTGTAAAGTTTCTGTATTTAGTAGATCTTTTGAGTGCAGTTGATTAGCTTTACCTTCTGTCCTTTAACTTGTGATATCCAAATGTCATTCAGTTTCTTGGGCAGTTTCCAAACACAGTTTCTTTGTCCATGAATGCCTTATGATCTTTTTCCACAAGTTGTTAGATTACATGTGGTACTTGGTAAATACACTCTTCAGGGCATGAGCCTTGGGGTCAATACGGTGAGACACAGTAGTTTAGAAAGAGAGCTGTACATGCCTCAGGAGCTGCTGAAGACTTCTGTCAGGCTACAAAATATCTAAGCCTTTCCTTTACTAGAGTTTTTGAGACTTCAGCACCAGCATGGTACTGAGATCTGCAAACTGTCATTTCAAACTAGTAGTCCTCATACTTGCTTGCAAAATAATATCTAGTGATTTCATTGTTAATTGGAGGTGTATGCTAGTGCTAGAGTAGCACATAACTAACTTCTTAATAAAAAATCCTTCTAAAAAATCCTTAGTTTGTGATAAAAAAGGGGAAATACTTTAACAGGCACCGTACTGTCAGGTTGGCAATAATTTGAGCAAAAGTTAGTATATGTCCTGGGTTATCTTCCGCATAGTTGAGATAAAAACACAGCAGTTATCTTTGAGAGGCAGACATAAATAGGATGGTCTAAACTATATATAAACCTTTCTTAAAAATAAGGTGTTAAAAAAAAAAAGAGAGGTGCATATGTATCAAGATGAATTGATTTTATTAGTTGCCCTGATTTCACATTTTTTATAGAGTCTGTTAATAGTATTGTAGTTTAAAATGTAAATTCATCTCAAGTTGTAGATCTTCTAGAAATTGGTTTGTGAAAGAAGATTGTCCTCAGAACAGAAAAAATAGATTTCTAGTCTGTCACGTGCAGGTTCAGTTGTGTGAGCTGGCTTTTTAAAGAATCTTTATTCTTTTTATTGATAAATTAATGTATTTCATATACAGAAAGAAGAACTATCCTGATTTGTTTAAGTGGTTTTGCATAGAAACAATAGAAGTTTGCTGCCCTGCTGGAACTTATGGACCAGATTGCCTTGGTAATTTTTCTTTTGAAAAATACAGTAGCAGATATGTTCTTTTTACCTGTTTGTTTCAGTCTTTCATAACATAGACAAATACATGAAGTATGATATTTTGCATGAGACACCAGCTGCTGTGTAACATGTACCTGACTGCTGCCTGATTGTTAGGTAGCTGCCTTGTGAGCATCCTACCCGAAGAAAAGCCTTCCAGGCATGAAGTAATGTACAAAGCTACCAAGGGTACTTAACGTGTGCAGAATCTATCTGCTCTGATGCTCACATCCACGCCCGACCCATGCTTAAAGGCTCTCTGTAACATCAAGTCTGTTGTTCAGGTGGCCTTTCAGAAGCTATGTAGACAATAGTCCTTGACTAGTTTCAAGAGTAAAATGGCCAAAACATTGTTGGAGATTAAATGAAGAAATTAACAACTGAGCATTAGTTAAAAAGGCATGGGAACAAATTGGATTAAAGTAGGTGGGAGACAATCGGAGGAAAGTAAGGTCTTTTATTGCAAAAGTGATGAAAGAGGTACTTTGTCCCCTGAAGTTTTTTATAACTTATAAACTTCTAAAACCTTGCATCTTGTTAGAGATTAGCTTCGGCCTCTTATATTGTTAAAAATGAAGTGCCAATTCCCGATATTGATCTAAATGGTTGCTAGTAGGTTTTCCCAGCTGCAATATGAGTATTCTCAGAAATCCAGAATAAGTAAAGATACCAACTTTAGCAGAAAATAGATAAAATTCTAAGCTGTGTTCTTTACCCAAAATTAAATTGAATAACTGAACTTTTCTGGAGAATGTTTTGAATACCTCTTCTACTTGAGTATATTACTGAGCATTTCTTGTTGCAAGCCTTTTGGTTGCTCTCAAGGAAAAAAAGATTTTGGAAATTATATCCTGGTTTAGTGTGACTAGTGTGTGGTTTTGGTGGGGATTTTTTTTAACATTTTACTGACTGTGAAGAGGGAGAAACTTAAGGTGCTTGTGGCTGAGAATAGGAAGTTCTTTCGTTTAACATCTGATTTAAACCTGATTTTTTGATCCTTTTTAGCTTGTCGTGGTGGATCGGAAAGACCTTGCCATGGAAACGGCCACTGTGATGGTGACGGTACCCGAGGTGGAGATGGCTCATGTAGCTGTAACAAGGAGTATACAGGAGATTTTTGTTTGGACTGTTCTAATGGTTACTTCAGTACCTTGAGAAATGAGACGCATTCAGTTTGTACTGGTAACGAAGTCTTTGACAAGTGCTTAGATCTTTGTCTGTCTTCTTCAGTTTTTGTAAACAAAACTAGAAGCAATTTAAACTGACAAATGTGAAAACAAAAAATAGTTACAGTTTGGTCACTCAGCTTTAACCATAAATGATATGTCAGTCAGTTGGTGGAATTCTAAGGTTTTTCTAAGTCATCCTTGCGGACCACCCTTGATTTTTTTTTTTTTATTTATTTTTTAATTTTCTACTTTAAATTAAAAAGCAGAATTCCTCTGTGTCATGAAGGAGGTCTGAGGGAAGAGCAAGCTTTGTCTCACATGCCTCTCAAGTACTGTACGAAAATCTTGAGCTGACATTGCTGTGTAGTGGGCTAGGCTTGAAAGCTAGGTTTTCCTTGTGTCTCAGATAAGCTTAACTGGAGTAAATGGGCATGGAAACAGCTGATCTGTACTGTTGACTACATAGATTCCAGTTAAGTGTGGCTGAGCTTAATTTTGTAACAAAATCAGGTTGTAGGAATAAACTTTTTCAGTTAGTCAGATTTGCGTCTGTTTTTACATCCTGAATGAGATTCTGCAGTAACTAAATCCTGGTTGTGGGGTCTAATAAGATTGTTTTTCAACATGGTCTGTGTTGGGTTTTTACCAGGCTGCATAGTAATTCTTTTGTATAATTCTTCTTTTATATTACAATGTATAACATGCATATGTTACATATTGCATGTTACAAATGCATGTAATATATACAAAAATAATACGATGTGCATATACAACTGTATTTCTAGTATGTTTCCTTGTGAAATTCTTCAGATTAGTATCACTTCACACATTGCCCTCATAGCTAGTTGCACGTGAAGTGGTCCGAGGATTTGTTAGGTGGAAGTGTTGAGTCTAGTGTTTAAACTGTTGTTCCAACCCTGAGCGGGCTGAACAAAGTTTACCTTCTTGATCTCCTCTTCCCAAATATTGTGGAAATTGGATCTGCTGCTTCTAGTCACTAGAATTTCATAGCACTGTTTTAAGCAGTGCAGATGACTGTAATTGCCAGGTTTGGCTTCCTGGGGTTTTTTTGGGGATTTATTGGGGAGTTTTTTGTAAGGTAGAGCTGCATTTTTATAAATTATATCTCCATAAAATCAAGATTTAATCTTATGAATGGGAGGGTCAAGCTACTAAATCATTATAGCTTCCAGTGAATCCTGAATAAGGTTTTCTTTGAGAATTTGTGTGCCCAAACTTGTCTTTGAATTGCTCAAAAAAGCTCAGATTGTAGTTTTCTTTTATTTCAGCTTGCCACACTGCGTGTAAAACTTGTACTGGTTCAAGTAATAAAGACTGCCAAGACTGTAAAGAAGGCTGGATTAAAAATGAAGAAGCAGCTTGTGTGGGTGAGTAATGCTTAGTAGGCTTCAAACAGGTTTTGTATCAGCGTTGGCTAGTGAGGTTAGATGACATCACATCGAGTTTTGTTGTAGTTTATGGAAGCATTCTGTCAGTTTAGATTTTTATAGTTTGTAATCTCTCTGTTCCTAACTTGTTTCACATTGCAGGAAAGCAGTATTTCCTCCCTCCTGATCACCTGGTGATTATAGTGTCTTTATCAAACTCTTCACTGTTTATCTTTTTGTTTGGTGGAATACAGATAGCAGCAAGTGGTGTGTTCCTTTTAAGACATGGGTTTTGTGTGTATTTGAATGCTAAACAGTGCTCTGCTCTTGATTTAAACTGTGCTGTTGACTACTGGAAGATTCCTGTCAATTTGTCTACATATTTTGTAGTAATTGCACAATTGTCTTCACATTACTGTATGTTTATAAATGCTTAACCCTAACAGAGTTCAAACATTTCAGGCATACTAAAATTTCCTGTTATTAGAGAGAAATACCAGGAGACATCAAGCTCAATGCTTCCATTAATCCCTTACCTCTTTCTAGGTTAGCATTTCTCTTGTTTTATGAGGTGATACATATGAAACATTTAAGGAAAACCCCAAATACTAATAATACTCCCAATGCAGGAATG